TGATGCAGTTTCCTTTGCTGTCAAGAAGTGGGCTACTGGAAAAGCTTATTGGAGAATTTGCCGGTGATGATGGATCAGTTTGCATTTTGCGACTTGATGACATACCTGGTGGAGCCAAAGCATTTGAGCTCATAGCCAAATTCTGCTACGGTGTTAAAATAGAACTCACTGCTTTAAATGTGGTCAGCCTTAGATGTGCAGCGGAGTACCTTCACATGAGTGAAGATCATGGAGAGGAAAATCTCACTGCACAAACAGAGGCCTTCCTCAATGAAGTTTTTGGCAATTGGTCAGACACAGTAAAGGCTCTGAAAACTTGCGAAGAAGTTCTATCTTATGCAGAGGAGCTTCACATTATCTCAAGATGCATCAACTCCTTGGCAATGAAAGCTTGTTCCGATCCAACCTTATTTAATTGGCCTGTGTCAGAGTGCAATAACACTGAGAATAAATCCGGCAACCTCTTATGGAATGGAATATCTGCTTCAACAAAGCCACCTCCCATTGGTGATGACTGGTGGTATGAGGATGTGTCTTTCCTTGGTTTACCTCTCTACAGACGGCTTATCCACGCTGTGGAACCAGGAGGCATGAAGCCTGAGAATGTTGCTGGATCCCTCATGTTTTATGCTAAGAAATATATTCCATTGATGAATAGGCAACCAACTGCCCAGGATACAAACCAAGTTAAACCTGGCTCAACTCTGTCCAACCCTTCCGAGGCAGAACAGAGGGCTCTCCTTGAAGAGATTGTTGAGTTGCTTCCCAATCAGAGAGAAGTTACACCAACTAAGTTTCTACTCAGGCTGCTCCGCACTGCTATGATCTTACAGGCAAGTCCATCATGCAGAGAAAACTTGGAGAAAAGGGTGGGGGAACAATTAGATCAAGCTGCATTGGAAGATCTACTGATACCAAATATGGGCTACTCGGTGGAAACCTTATATGATATAGACTGCTTTCAGAGGATTCTTGATCATTTTGTATCAATGGACCAGCCCATGGCTGCAGCTTCTCCATGTATAGTTGACGAAGGGCAGTTGATAGAAGGGGCCCATTCGCTGGCATCAGTAACAATGGTGGCAAATCTGGTGGATGCATATCTTGCTGAAGTGGCACTGGATGTTAATTTGAAGTTCCCAAAATTCCAGTCACTTGGGGCTGCCATCCCTGATTATGCCAGGACAGGTTCTGATGGCATTTACCGCGCAATTGATATATTTCTGAAGGTAACAATTCTAAATCTCGTTCTTTCTATTTTTGTGAGCATTGTGAAATTTTGGAATTGAAATGAAATGCTGGAAATTTGGGAATTGCATGGAAAACTGAAAAGTTTAGGCTTGCAGTAATCAGGCAGACGCTTGAATCTGTGTTTGTGGGTGGTTGAGTGTGTTCCTGAGAACACACAGGCTGGGTTGCTGAAACTGATTTACAATAAAAAGTTTCGTCCATTTTTTTAGCGAATGTATACTGGTATTATTTCTATGACTTCAGATGATCTTTGAATTTTTTTAGATCACCAATTGGCAGTGACATAAAACAAGACGAAAAGCCATACTAAAACTTCCTGGGGGATTAGCATTCCTACTGTTCCCTTAATGTTTATTCTTCGTGATTTTATGGGCAGAATTTTGGGCATTTTTTTTGGTGAACATCTTCTATGGTAACAAATGCAAAGAATAATCTCTCGATAAATCTTTTATTAGATTATCGAATAATTTTGTACATAGCTTTGGAACATTCTGAAGAAGCACATGTTCTATAGCTGTTAGGATAGCCTAACAATGGATATCAAGTTCTCCACAGTATCTTCCATGTGAGACCCCCTTCAGCACATGGAGAGACAAAAAATATAAAACCAAATTTCGAACTGGCTGATGACATGGGGAACAAAGGTATGCTATGAGACTTGTATGTCATAGGCATGGATTTGTGTATTCCTTTCCTGTGTTTTGACCATGGATGAATCTTAACCTGTCATTTTGGTTCTAAGTTCTCTTGCTATAGTTTACTTGCAAAGACAAGTTCAACTCTAAAAGTTGGGTTCAAGAAAAATTGCAGGGAAATTACAAAAATTTAGATTCCGATTCTAGGATTTCGTGTTTGTAGACTACGTAGCTAGGTATCATTCATTTATCACTTATTCTAACCAGAAAAGTTATCGTCAATGAGCGTGCTAACACATTTTATAACTTCAGGCACATCCTTGGCTCACAGACTCTGAGCGAGAGCAAATTTGCAGACTCATGGACTGCCAGAAGCTTTCATTAGAAGCCAGCACACATGCAGCCCAGAATGAGAGGCTACCTCTCAGAGTGATTGTGCAAGTCCTATTCTTTGAGCAACTTCGCTTGCGTACATCAGTTTCTAGTTGGTTTTTTGTCCATGACAATCTTGAGAACTCGGAAAATCCCAATGTGGTTCTCGCACTCTCCAAAAATGATGCTTCCCACCACGAGGATGTTGTACAAGATAGAGGATCTGGTATGGAAGTTATGAAGGAGCGTGTTTCCGAGCTTGAAAAAGAGTGCCAGAGCATGAAACAGGAGATTCATAAGCTGGTGAAAACCAGGAGAAGTTGGAACATATTTTGCAGAAGAAAGTCACAGCACTGTCGATCTTTAGAATCAAAACCCTGCAAAATAACTGCCCCACTGTCCTCTGTTAATGAGCGACGAAATCATCAAAATGGTGAGTTGGGCAATTGAATTTGTGCAGCTCAAACTAAATGAATAACATAATTTTTATTTTTTTTTTCTTTGGGATTGTTTTTAGCTGTTTACTACTCAGCTGCAGAACTTTTTTCTTATTTGATTAGTTATCAAAATTTTTGTATTGTTGGTTGGTGGTTTTGATGATTTCTTTCATTGAAATTGGTTATTTGACCTCAAATGGCTGTTGCTTGCTTATTGTTGAATTGCTAGGGTACTGTGCACTGCATTTTTTTTTTTTTTTCTCTATGGTTAATATGTAAGTGAATGTTTAAAGTGTAAGTAATTGGTTAAAATGTTTACTGTGATTCAAATATAACGTTTTTTCTGGACTGGGCTAATTGAACAAAATCTCCTGTATCTTATCACACCATGTGCACACGTCCATGCTTTACAATACTAGAAAATACTTTCAACAAGTAAAAAGGTTCTCTCTCTCTCTCTCTCCCTAATGTTTCACCATCATTTCAGAGTACTTGCTTTATGGTTTTCACACTTAAATCCAAACCAAAAGCCCATCAAGTGGAATCCTCAACTAACAACACTGCCTTTGGTTGTTACTGAGACCAGTGGTCCCCATCACCGCAATGAGCCACCTTCACTTGTGATATCAAACTGGGACCAAAGCTGCCTATCAAATTGTTCTGAACTGATAGCCCGTCGCCCTCAATAACGCGTCATCGCCCCATTCGTCAGGCAATTGACGGGCCACCCTTCTCTCCCCAAATCAAAGAAAGAGGCCCCTCTCTTCTCCTATCAATCAACTCTCCTAGACCCTCTTTCGGTTACTTGTCGTTGGTTGGATCTGTGTTGTCAGTTGCCTGTAATTCAAACCTCAACAACAAACAAGCACTTGAAAATTGGTTGAGATATGTCTGCGACATAATAGGCCCCCCTCTCTCTCCTCTTAATTGTCGGCACTAACATATTCTCGAAATTTCGATTTCAGTCCACGCACATGAATACATACATGAAGCATAACCATATTTGACTCCCTTTTAAGACGATGTAAACGCAAGAATTTTTGCATAAAATGATGAAGGGCAGCTAACCCCATCATGGGTGCTACCCTCCCCAAGATTGAGCCGGATTTGATTTTCAACGCCATTTCGTGCAGTCTCTTCCCGTTCTGATTGGATGATATTTCAAAAGTATTTGTACTAGTTCTCATTGTCTCTCTATATACACCAGGTAGGTTTATGATCACCATTGTCCTATGCTACTTGACGAGCCCAAATTTAAGTGGGACATGCCCAATTAATGAGTTAGACCCAAATCAGTTAGAAGGTGAGTCAAATTCAATTCATGGATTCGGCCTAGTCCAGAGTTCAAGGAATTCAGAATAATTAGAACATGTGGAGAGCAATTATCGAAATACTCACTCTCAAATATCAAGACAACNTTAATTCATGGATTCGGCCTAGTCCAGAGTTCAAGGAATTCAGAATGATTAGAACATGTGGAGAGCAATTATCGAAATACTCACTCTCAAATATCAAGACAACTTTTAATTGTACTTACCTTTGTAGCTCCCCGAAGATCTAGTACATTTATCCTCACGTCACCGCCTCAACTAAGACTTTATGCCTATAAATTATAAATTCTCTCTACATGAGAGAAGACCTCTCTGCACACCCTACTCTCTCCTAGCTATTGTATCCCTCTTGGGACTAACAATTGCTCTATCTCTCATTCACCTTACTTAATCAATAAAAGGTCACCCGACTACTGTTGTTGTTTTTTGAAGTGAAATAGGTGACCCAAGCCGAACCACTATATATTTGCATATTAACCCAATAGTTACATTATTGTCATTGATTGCTGTAAGTGGTCAAAAAGCTCTCAGACCTCTTAGAAAGCTATGCAACTCCCACACTGGATTCAAATTCCTATAAATTAACAAACTGCCTAAGATCAAAGTGTTTCGATCGAAGGCACTCTAATACTTTAGTCAGTGAACGAAAAGAAAGAATTTAACTTTTGTTAGAAGGAAATTGCGTACCAATATTATCCTCCTTTGTTGGCTTATATAGTCTCCATCTAACTTATCGTTCTAGAAATAACCACCTATCCCATAAGATTCAATATTTTCTACTAGGTCCCTTCCTGATTTCCCGAACGTTCCCTCGATTGTAGCTTAGATTGATACGATCAGATTCCTTGACCATAGGCTTTGATAATGCCATTTAATTCCTATCTTCCTAACCGAGGGACTTCTGTTCGGCCCTCCTGCCGACCTGGTCAATTCACCTCGGGCTCTGTAGGGCGTAACCCCTCACGTGACCCTTGCGTGACCATTTACACGTGACATAACTTTTATGCCCCTTCACTTGCCTCCATGAAGCGAATGACAGTCGTCATTTGTCTGACAAACGCTTCATGTGCTCCAGGGTCATAATTGTCTAGGTTTTTGAGACACGTAACTGTCTCTTCTCATTGAATGCTTGTACTTTTGGCCTCTTGACTTCCTTTTTTTCCTTAATATAAAAATGTTTTAATNTAAACGAAAAGAAAGAATTTAACTTTTGTTAGAAGGAAATTGCGTACCAATATTATCCTCCTTTGTTGGCTTATATAGTCTCCAGCTAACTTATCGTTCTAGAAATAACCACCTATCCCATAAGATTCAGTATTTTCTACTAGGTCCCTTCCTGATTTCCCGAACGTTCCCTCGATTGTAGCTTAGATTGATACGATCAGATTCCTTGACCATAGGCTTTGATAATGCCATTTAATTCCTATCTTCCTAACCGAGGGACTTCTGTTCGGCCCTCCTGCCGACCTGGTCAATTCACCTCGGGCTCTGTAGGGCGTAACCCCTCACGTGACCCTTGCGTGACCATTTACACGTGACATAACTTTTATGCCCCTTCACTTGCCTCCATGAAGCGAATGACAGTCGTCATTTGTCTGACAAACGCTTCATGTGCTCCAGGGTCATAATTGTCTAGGTTTTTGAGACACGTAACTGTCTCTTCTCATTGAATGCTTGTACTTTTGGCCTCTTGACTTCCTTTTTTTCCTTAATATAAAAATGTTTTAATTTTTACTTTCTATACTTTGCCTCATCTTCTTCTTCACTCCCTTACCTTCGAAGCTCTTCTTTCACACTCTACATCTTCCTTCGAATGGCTCCCCTTACAACCGAGGGCATTCCAGCGTTCAGAAGCAAATATAGTATCCCTGACGATGTCGATATCCAAGTTACAGGTAATGATGAGGCATTGGTTGGGACTAGGGAATCAATCCCTATCCATCCAAGGGCCATTATTGAAGGTGGGGTGAGATTCCCTTTGCATCCCCTACTACTTTGGGTCCTTGCAGCTACAAAACTGTGCCTCTTCCAGTGCTGCCCCAACTTTTTCAAGATCGTTATGGAGGTTGCAACTTTGAACAATCTTTTGAATATCAACTTGGGCCTTTGGGAGATTCTTTTCTACTTCATTCTGAAGACTACCAATGACAGTTATTATTTGGTAGTAAGGAGAAAAGACAGATATTTAGTCACCCACCTCCCAGATTCGAACAAAGGTCACGAAAACGATATCACATTCGTTTTCGGGAACTGGGATTACAGAGCTGGAGAAACACCTTTTTATCAATGCCCTTATAAGGAAGGTGCACCAGGTATATGATAGTTTGTGGCCAAGAACCTTTTTTTTTTGGCATGCAAATACCTTACAGTCTTATGTTTTTCACATTCACATGTAGGAGAAACTGTTAAAGGCAAAATTGCTGAGAGTTCAGTAAATATGGAGGACCTGAAGAAGGTGTGGTCCTATAATGAGAACCTCTTTTGCCGAGTTGCTCATGTTTTATTAGGGTATACTCCTACATACCATTCATTCATTGTCATACCTGATCGGGCCAATGCTACTCTTGCCGAAGACCGAGCCGAACTCCAAGCTCAGCATGCCGCAACACCTCACGCACGTGAGAAGGCTACTACTACTCACTCTAGGCAGAGTAGGCCATCAAGAACTTCCTTAACCTTCTTTATGCTCGTGAGTCAGGTGAAGCTGCCTCTTCAATGTTGCTAGTCTAGACCGAAGCAACTTCTCAAAATACTCAACCTATCGAGTCAGTCTTGGTCCTGATCATGCCCCCAATCCCAACGAACTTCCAACCATCATTGAAGCTCTGGTTCCTTCTACAGTCAATCTTCCTACTGAATCAGAACCCGAAATGCCAACGGTAGATCCTTCCACTATTACTTTGATTCCTTCTTCTAAGCCTCCTGTTGATCACATCATAATCTCTTCTCCTCGGTTCATTGCTGCCAAGCCCGAGGAGCAATTGTCAAAAAGGAGACGGCTTGAATCTCCTGAAAGATTGAGGAATGTCTTTAGACCCATACTTCAAGCGAAAGGTAAGGAAATCATAATTTGGGACTCTGCTGCTGAATATATGAATGTGGCAGTAGGAATTACTAGGGGCGTGATACTGCCTCACGACTTTGCAATGAATGAGGCAGCTTCTGATGACGAGATTGCTAGGCAAGCCATTCAGCAAATGATTTTGGTATTTTCTTGGTTTCTTTCACTTTTTCAGTCTCATCTTCTCAATCTTTATTTTGTATACTGAAAATATTTTGTTTCAAAAAATAGGGTTGCAAAAGGTGTATAGGGTGAGCGCCAGAATTGCAAGCAATGACAAAGCAATGAAGGAAGCCATTCATGACTGCATATCTGCCCTAGCCAAGAAAGAATCTGTTGATGAAGNCGATGCCCTTATAAGGAAGGTGCACCAAGTATATGATAGTTTGTGGCCAAGAACCTTTTTTTTTGGCATGCAAATACCTTACAGTCTTATGTTTTTCACATTCACATGTAGGAGAAACTGTTAAAGGCAAAATTGCTGAGAGTTCAGTAAATATGGAGGACCTGAAGAAGGTGTGGTCCTATAATGAGAACCTCTTTTGCCGAGTTGCTCATGTTTTATTAGGGTATACTCCTACATACCATTCATTCATTGTCATACCTGATCGGGCCAATGCT